TGGCCACCATCCCCTCCGAGCCTGCCCCGTTGCCCTGTTACATTCTCTACTGAAACTGTATATCTACGTTTGTCCCTTTCCCTTTCAAATGCCATCCCTGAGGTCAGGGACTGTCTTGGTTATGGCTCTGTTCATGGCCTGAGAGTGATAGCCAGCACACAGTGCACACTCAGATTTTTGCTGAATGAATATTCACATAATAGTTGGGTTTTTTAAACAAACAAAAAACAGGAATGCAGTCTTGTTTTATATTATTCTGTAGCTTTCTCTTTTTTACTTAACAATATGTGTTAGATATCTTTCCATATCAACACTATAGAACTCTTATTCTTTTAAACTACTGTGTAGTATTTTATCATGCATATATACCATAATTTATTTAATGATTTTTCATATAGACATTTAAGTCATTTCTCATTTTTTCTTGTGTGTCAGGGCTACATGAGAGTCTTGGTGTACACGTGCAAGTATTTCTGTACAGTAGTGGGAAAGCTGGGTCAAAGCCATGTGCATTGAAAATTCTGATAGGTGCCCAGTGGGACATTTTGTTCTTTCAGCAGGTATCCTACCATAGCAGTTAGCATAGTATATGGTCCACATAAAATATCCTCAGTCAATATGAATGGTCCTTGAAAGGGGCATTTGATGGGTAAAAATAACCAACACTTACTTGGAGTCACTGCCAGAAAATAAGTGAGTCTTATCTGAATCTCCCCAGTGTTTAGAATGTAATGGATTTCCATGTGTGTCAAATAAAAGAAACACATGATATCTAAAGCAATGAGTACTTTCTGATGTGACTGCAAGTGGCTACCCGGGTTAGTCCCTAAGAGAAAAGGTTGAAAAACATATAGCTTATGGTTGATTTTGGAAAAATAAAATACAGAATAAAAAATCCTTTATAATCTCGATGACTTTGAAACCACCACTTTCTTATATTTTGGTGTTAATGCTTAAGTTTTCTTTCCTATATATTTTGTCCGTAGTTGTTATCATACTGTATATAACTTCAAACATGTATCAAGCTATAGCAGTGTCAGAACAAAACTTGCACCTCCTCGGGGACTACTTTTGAAGGAAACATCATTTATTTAAAAGGATTAGTCTAGACATGCTTAAACCTGTGTTTAAACATGGCTGTCATTACTCTGTTGTAGAGCCTGGAATGAGGAAACTTACTCATTCATTCACTAATCAGATACATATGTGTATGCATATATATACATATTTGTCATTTACCATGTGCCTGGCCCTGTACTAACACTGGGGATGTATTTGAAAATAAGACACCAGCTTGTAATAAGCTTTGTGAAGGAAATAAACAAAGTGACATGTTAGGGAGGACATGGAGAAGGGGCTTCTTTGGATGGGAAAGGTGGCTGTGAAGGGGCGGCACTTGACCTTAGGCCTGAAGGATAAGAATGAACTAAGCTGTGAAGTGCCGGGCACTCCAGCCCGAGAGAAGAGCTTGTGTGAGGGCTCCGGGCTGGCTAAGGACTCAGCTTGTCTGTGGAACACAAAGTAGACTCGTGCAGCCTGAACCAAGGGAGGGCAGTTGTGATGGGGGCACAGTGGGGGTGAGCTGAAGATAGAGAGATGTTACTGAACTTAGGTTTTAAAAACATGGGCTCAAGGCAATGAATCTGGATGCATATTTCTTTAAAAAGATACAAAAAAGATGTACAAAAAGATATATAGTAAGTGCATGAAAATTTGCCCTGATATCATTAATCATTAAGAAAATGCAAATCAAAACCGCAATGAGAAACTAGTTCACACCCACTAGATATGATAAAGAAAGGACAGGTGATGGCAAGTGTTGGAGAGGAGAGGATTCTGGAATGCTCATCATTGCTGGTGGGGTTGTAAAATGGACCTGTGGCTGTGGAAAACATTTTGGAAAATATTCCCTGGAAATGTTAAACATAGAGTTATCATAGGACCCAGTAACCACACTCCTGGGAACGTACTCAAGAGAACTAAACACATGTATGTGTCCAGTGCTGTTCACAGGGAGAAACAACCTAGATGTCTACCGATGATATAAATGCATTAAAAATGTGACATGTGCATGCAATGGGACATTACTGAGCAGCAAAAAGGCATGAGGCACTGACATGCTACAACATGGATGGCTCTTGAAAGAAGCTGGTCACAAAACTCCACATGTTGTGTGATTTCATTTATATGAAATACCCACAATAGGCAAATCCACAGAGACAGATTGGTGGTTTCCTAAGCCTAAGGGCAGAATAGGGAGTAACTGCTATGGAGGCAGGGTTGATTTGTGGGGAGGTGAAAGTGTTCTGAAATTGGTGATTGTTGTAAAACTTTGTAAAGTCATTGAATTATGCACTTAAAACAGGTTGCTCTTATAGTATGGGAATTATATCTTAATGGAACTGTCTCAAAAAGTCAGTCTACTCAATTTAACAAAAGGAACAAACTATTCATACACTTAAGAACATGAATGCAGCCCCCAAATAATGTTACTGGATGAAAGAATCCAATCAAAAAAGAATATATGCTCTATGGTTTCATTTACATAAAATTTTAGAAAATGCATTCCAATTTATGGTGGTAGAAAGCAGGTCAATGGTTCCGGGACCCAGGAAGGGTGGGGCGGGCCAGGGAGAGATGACAAAGGAGTGCTGGGAAACTTTGGGGATTGACAAATATATTTATTATCTTGATTGTGGTGGTCTGTGTTTCATAAATGTTGGCACGGTATTGTGCCTTTTTAATGTGTATGGTTTATTGCATGTGAGTTACAGTTACCGAACCCAGCCAGTAGGGGGCTCCTACTGCTTTCCACCTATCACGAAAATCTCCAAAGATGGAGTTCACTGGAAAAGAAAGGAATCTTATTTAATGGCAACTTTCTGCCTAAAATATCTGGGTAACAACAGTAAGGGAGGGGAAAGAAGAAGTCAGAGTATGACATCAAAAATAGTCTCATTACAACTACTACACAGGTCCAAGAACTGAAAATAACACAAGAACAAAAATCTGTTGACAGTGCTGTTATCACCAAGGTTTTTGGCAATAACAGCAAGCTTCTGTTTCAAAGCCCGTTCTCTCTAAGACACCCAAAGAAAAGTCACTCTGTCACCATCTGCCAGCTCAGTTCAAGGTTGCACCAGGAACCTCCTCTCCCACCCAAAAGTTTTAGGGATGCAGGTGACTTAGCTGGTCTCCACTCTCTGCCCAGCTTCAGGAATCTTCCAGAGTCTGTGCCCCCAGGCCTCGGTGCACAGGCCTGCACTGGGCATTGTTGACAGGCGACCATTGACAAGTCCCCCACCAGAAGAGGGGAAAGAACCAACTGCCCTTTTGCTTTCTGTATCACTCTTTCAAAAGTCCTCTTCCAGAATCCCATGTGCACCAAACGCTAGTGGGAGTGTCCAGCCTTCCAACCAAGTAGGGCCAGTGTTAGCCATGGTGGCCTTTGCCCCTCTTCTGCCGCTATATTTAGGGGGCCAAGTCTGATGTCACTCATGTGCAACTCAAACCCCTCTCCCATTTCTGGATGTGTGTGTGTTCTTCCCTCCCCCCCATTACAGTACCTCAGGAGAGCTGAAAACAATTAGTCTAGGTGCTGAGTGGAGGTGGGGGTGGAGCTGGAGGCTGGGGAGCAAGTCCGAGGTGTTTGCAGGGAGAGGCGCTATGTTCTGCATTAGATGACAGCCATGGGCAGCAGGTGACGGGTTGAAACATGCTTTGGAAAGACAACTCACATGTTGGGGGTGGAGGGAAGTTAGGAAAAAGGGTTATTTTTAGTTCCTTTTTTTTTAATTCACTAGAGCAGTCAGATATATGTAATAGTGCCATTAGCTGAGGTGGACAGGTTTTGGGGGGTCAGGAGAATCACATGTTCTGTTTTGGAAAGGCTGAATCTGAGATTCCAGTGTGATGTCCAAGTGGGGATATTTAACAGGCCACAGAGGATGTAAGCCGGAGTTCAGGGAAGATGTAAGGTATTAGACGGTATATATTGGTCTCTGTTCCTGGTGTCTGGCACAGACTTCTAAAAACCTTGTGACTTCCTGAGTGACAAGAGCATAAGGAGCATCTCTTATTTTAATGGGGTGACTATGGGTGGCTCCTGGGTGGGGTTGGTCACTAGAGAGACCAAGCCCTGGTTAGAAGCTTGGGACTCTCCCCTCCGAGCTCATGTGGGTGGCCAGCATTCCTGGGAGGCCAGGCTTCAGTGCAGGCAGGAAGTGGGAGCATGTGAAGGAGAGGCCACAGGTCCAGGGGACTAATGCAGCGGTGTGGGGCTGGGCAGCAAGGTTGTCACAGGCACATGCTTTCTGATGATTCTCATAGGACTAATTTACCAATGAGAAAAGGAACGAGGAGAATCTTCACAGGCTTGTGTTGATGAGCCAGTTGTCCCAGGGGCCACGCGGGCTTTATGAGACCGTTGGGCCCACAGGTCTGTGTTGTTGAGTGACTGGGGCCCTTGGGGCTGTGGGGAGAAGCGGGCTCTTGGGTGGCCCTTCAAGGTTAGCTCCCACATTGAACATGGAAACACAGATCGGGGAAGAGGTGCACCTCAGCAGAGCCACATCTGTCTTAACGGGACTTCCAGTGTCGGGGGATTAGCCAGGTGGGTCAGGGCTCTTTCCCACTGCTTCCCCTGCCAGCAGGCTTGGTTGGACACAGACCGTCCTCAGGGTTTCTTTCTCCCTCAATAACCTGCTCTGCATTCTTTGAATCCCTCTCTTATAAATGCTTCTGTCTCAGTATATTTCTGTTTAGATCCCAGGCTGGGCATCCAATTAGCCCCACTAATTTTTGGGTCTGGCCGTTCAGAATAACCATAAGTCAAATGCCCACCCCTGAGCTGGTAGCCTGGGCTGGGAGTGGGGTCCCATATGGCTGCCCTGAGTAGTGGGTTGATGCCTTCCAGGTGGTGAGTGGGCATGGTGCAAATCAGAGGGCAGGGTGAGGGCCCGGATGTGGCTCCCAGGCTTACTCTCCTTCCTCTCCCACAGCACTGATGTCTTCATCTGCACGAGCCCCATCAAGAGGTACAAGTACTGTGCCTACGAGAAGGTGAGCTGTGCGCTTGCTTGCAGAGGGTTTGGTGTTTGCTCTTCTCACTTTACCCCATGGGTCATAGGTAAGGGGTGCTGGCTCTCCACATGCCTAGCAAGAAGGGCACTGAACCCCCACACAGCTGCCGCTGGCTATGGTGAATTTGTTTCTGCTTCCTCTCCCATTGATCCCTCCTGTTTCTGTGCCAGGGTCTCCTTCCCTGACAACCTTCCCTAGTGCCAGTCCAAAATTCTGCTACCTTGTCTGGATGGAGCCCAGTGAAGGTGACAGGCTCTCTGGAGAGGGTGACTGTCCCCATTTCAGTGCAGTGTCATTTGTGAAGGATGGGACAAGGAGAGAAAATGTCTGTGGAAGGACTGGAGGCAACCCAAATTCATGTTAGAATGCACAAATTTATTTACACAAAAAGTCTTACAAAGGTGAAATAGTTGAATTTTGCTACATACTCATTGTCTTCTTTATTGGAAATATTAGAATTGCATGAAAGTGAAACTTTTCTGGAAATTGAGAACCTGTGGTTGACCAGACAGGAGGGAAGGTCTGTTGTCCAGGAGGTGGGCGCTCACACCAGAGCTGGGTCCAGGGCCTGGCCCCTCCTGAGGAAGTTCAAGCAGCCCTTGCCAAGCCCAGGGCCTCCCTGGTCAATGGCTTGGCTCAGCCCTTCAGCAGGAGTTCTCCTGAGTGTCTTCACATAGAAGAGAGTGTCTCTTCTCTCCAATTCAGTATTAGAAGCAAAATGTACATAGTCAGCCAGCACTGGGTGACTTCTCTGTGCTTTCAGTGGACTGGGAACTCGCACTTACTGAGCAATTATTGTGGTGTCATGTACAGTGCTCGGCCCCCACCATTTCATTGCATGCTCACAGCACCCCACTCCATGGTTATCCTTATACCGTTAGAACATGTGAGAAACATGAATTCAGTTAAACTCAGGGGAGTTAATAACTTCCCCAGAGTCAGTAAGTGTGGAGTTAGGACTGAGGGCCAGGTCCACTATTTGCAGTAGAGCAGTGACCCAAAGTCAGGCCCCCAGGCCAGCAGGATCTGCACACCCAGGACACTTTAATAGAAGTGGATGTTTTCTGGTCTCTCCCTACACCAGGGGTGTCCAACCTGCAGTCCTCAGGCCACATGTGGTTCAGGGTGACTGTGAATGTCACCCAACACAAAACTATAAATTTACTTAAAACATTATGAGATTTTTTTTGTGGTTACGTGTCAATGTATTTAATGTGTGGGCCCAAGACAGTTCTTCCAGTGTGGCCCAGAGACACCAAAAGGTTGGACACCCCTGCAACCTTCTGAATTAGAATCTCTGGGAGCAGCTGAGTGTATTTAAGCAAGCCTACCAGGTGCACTCTTAATTTTGGGAACTGCTGGGCTAGAGTAACTGTTTCAGTAGGGGTTGTACTGGGGGTCGGGATATTTATCTAGTGCTTATTGGGGTAAGATTGACAAGATGGCTGTCAGTCACCCATTCCCATGGATTTAAGTATCATCTGTATGCCTGCCATCTACCCTGTGTAGCCTCAGCCCAGGACTGTCCTCTGAATTCCAGGCAGCTCAGCCCTGCCATATCCATCCCTGGTGCTGTTCTTCCCATCCCGCTCCTCCCAGGCTAGAAGTGGGGGCTGTCCAGGTGACACCCTCTGACCCCTCACCTCTAGCACATTGACAAGTCATAGTTCCTGTTGCCCGTTTCTGATATTTAGCATCTGTCTGCTTCTCCCTCTCCTTATTGCCACCACCTCAGCATTTCTTTCCAGAACTGAGAGAGCCTCCTGAACTGCCTTCGTTTCAGTCCCACGTAGAGCCACGGGAGGTCTTCACAAGCAGATCATGTCAGCCTCCTACTTTAAAACATTTTAATGGTTTCCCACTGCACTTAAAATAGGATTAAAGGAAGTGTATACATACGATACACACACACACACACACACTCTCCATAACCTATAAGGCCCTGCTTCACCACCCCTCCCACCCATCTCAGAGTCCTGTCCTCTCCCTTCATGATGCTTCGTGCTCCTCCACTTCTGAGCATGCAGCGCGTTCTTGCTTCCTGCCCTTGCACATGCTGGCCTCTGCCTGCTTGGTTTCTTCCTTTTCATTCACTGGGCCTCAGCCCAGCAGCTTCCCCACAGCATCTGACCATATTTAAAATACATTCTTCCTCCACCTTGTTGTTCCACCTCTCAGACCTTTGTTTCCTGTATAACACTTACCATGTTTGGAAATGGGTTTATTTCTTCATCTATGTCTTGTCATCTGTTTGTCTCATCCACTAAACTGCAAAATCCAAGAGGGCAGGGACTATGACTCTTGCTTACTACTGATCCCAGTACCTAGCACAGGTCCTGTCATGTGGTAAGCACTCAGTATTTGTCGTTGGATCAATAGAGTTATTTGTTCAACAGAGTTATCAAACATCTTTCAGTAATAATGTTTACCATTTAGTTAATGCTTTTATTTTATTTTTTAAAAAGATTTTATTTATGTACTTTTAGAGAGAGGGGAGGGAAGAAGAGAGAGAGGGTGAGAAACATCCATGTGAGAGAGAAACATGGATCAATTGCCTCTGGCACCTGCCCTGACAGGGGACCAAACCTGGGACCTTTCACTACTCAAGACATCACCCAACCAACTGAGCCACAGCATTCAGAGCTGCTCAGCACTTTTACTGTGGCAGGTGCTGTACTGGCAGTAATCTCTTTAGGGCTTACAGCATCTCCCTGTGAAACAGAAATGCAGTTGACCCTTGGCAAACATGGGGATAAGGAGCACCAAGTCCCTACCCCCACAGCCAAAAATTTGCATATAACTTTTGACTTCCTAAACTTAAGCTGTCCCTTCACACCTGAAGTGGATGGGTTCCAGGATGCCTCCTGCCCCACTGTGGATATCAAAATCCACAGATGCTCAAGTCCCCATATAAAATGGCATAGAGCATACAGTCGGCCCTTTTTACCCACACACTCACAGCTGCAGATCAAAACCAGGGCAGGTGTTCAGTGCACAGGTAAGTGGACCTGTGCAAACCCACACAGTTCAAGGGTCAACGGCATTCTTCTGATCTGCCAGATGGAGACAGAGGCTGAGTGAGGGGCAGCGGCTTTCCTACTGAGTCAGTCGTGCTGGGCCCAGGTCTTTGTGTCTCGCAGCCCCACCCTTAGCCTCTCCTGCCCACAGGGTGCTCACTGTTGAAGATTCAGAGCACAGTGGCTGTGTGAGAAGAGGATACCAGTTAGGACTCTTTTGTCACAAGCAATATTAACAGCACTGAGCCAACTTAAAACAAAACTAGAATTTATTAGAAGGATGCTGGTTTGCCCAGAGAATCAAAGGAAAGTTGAAGGAAGCAGGCCTTGGACCAGCTGTGTGGGAGCCAGAGCCACAGATGGCCTCCTCAGCACCTGGGCCGCAGGGCTGCAGCTCCAGCCAGTCTCCACCCATGCGTTTCCATGCCCAAGTCACGTTCTAGGAGAAGGAGCTTACCAGCTGAGCTCAGGGACCACACCTGGCTTGTGGCAATGGGTGGGTGGGCCTCCTGAGGGTCCCGTTAAGGATGAGGTGGCTTCACAGAAGACAATTTAGGTGCTGTTCCCAGAGGAAGGGGTGCAGTGACAGTGGATGCCTTGATTAAAATGAAGGAAAAAAACAAAACCCCAGCTCTTTGATCCTCGTACAGAGATACAACAATGCTGTTAACCTTCTACTGTGTTTCTTTTTACCCCAGAATTGAACCTCTTCATTTAACCTCAAATATAAAATGTAGGCTGTGCTGTGTTTGAATTTAAGGAAGTAATGAATTCATTCATTGAGCAAACAGTTCCCAAGCACCTGCTATAACACTTAAAAAGATGCCCATCTCTGTTTTCAGGAGCTGATGACAGCGTGGCAGGCAGACAGTGAGTTGTTACTCCACGTCACAACCTCTGTGGTCACACAGGAGGAGGAAGCCATGGCTCATTCTTGGGGAAAGTAGCAATGAGTCACCCATGGGAATGAGCAGGCGAAGGAGTGCAGGAAGTGAGTTCTGAGTATTGCAAACAGCAGTGCAAACACAAAGGGGCATAAGGGGGAGCTTGGAGGGTGGGGTGGTATGAGGCGGGTAGGCTGGAGATAAGCTGAATAAGCAGGCAGGGCCTTTAGTAATCAGGAGTTTGCACTTCACTGCCACAGGCACTGCGAGGCCTCTGAGGGGTGTTTAAGCAAAGTGGTCATAAATCCTGTTGGTGTTTCTGAAAGCTCCCTGCAGCAGCATGGCCAGTCACTTGGTGGACTTCACTCCCAGCCTGGAGACCACACGGAGCCTGCTGCAGTAATGCAGATGGACTATAATGAGGACCTAAACCAAGACAGTGACAAAAGCCCACAAGACAATCACCATGGCAGTGACTTGTTATGCCCTTGAGAAGTAGTGAACGCACAATAGAAACATGCACTATGGATGCTAGTAGAAAGTTTTCCAAAAGCAAAAAACACAGTCAACATAAGCACAGATTACTTAACTTTGTTAGTAAAGAAGTGAAAGTTGAAATTATTTTTTCTATTAGAATGAATTATTAGAATCATAATAATTTGAAATTATAATAACTAGTATTTGTAAAGGTTTGTAAAAACCAGCATTTTCAGGTATGGCTGATAGAAAGAAACTAGTAAAATCCTTCTGGTTGATAATTTGGCAGAATACTCAAAGGCCTTTAAAAATTGCCCTTCTTATAATTTTTTTTGCTTCTAATTTATTAAGATGTAATGTAAACTCAATATAGTTGAGGTCCTTAACAAATAATCACCACCACAGTCAGGCCAACACATCCCTTGCAGGCCCAGTCACCAGAGCCCCCACACTTTTGTGAATTTTACCTTCAAGAGCTTTACATGGCTCTCAGAAGCTCAGAAAAAAAATGGAGCTAAGTTTTGGACCTAAGTTCTTATAGGGGCAGGAAAAAAGTAACTGTTTTGAGACATACTCAAGTGTTCTGTTCTTTTATTTATTC